TAATCGATTAATCGACTAAGTTGGGTCTGTAAAATTCAAATCGATTAGTTGTCAACTTTACAACTAATCGATTAATTTAACACTATAGTGTTATGTAACACAGTGTTATGAATATACTGTAACTTTCAATATTTTATTAACCAATTAAATTGATTTAATTACAAGTTTTTTTTTAAGTGTAAAACATTTTAACTTATTAACTTGCATTTAGAGAAAATTAAGTATATATTTAGGTTTTTTAAATTGCAAATTCTCACTTGCATTTAGAGAAAGTTGATTATATATATGAAACCTAAAATGAACCCAAAAACTAGGTTTTAAATTGGAACCTGGTTTTTTAACAACCGACCTAAGAATTCTACCATCCTTAATATTGATCCTGAGAAAGACCAAAACGGGATTAATTTATAAATAATATATAATGTATGCTTCTTGGCAAAACTCATGAAGTTGGAATTCGAGTTCGGGTGAGGAAGATTTGTGGTTTTGCAAGCAAATATACATACTACCTAAGGGCATTCTTGATTGCAATATAAATAGTATAATATATATACAATATATGCTAACACCAATTACTATATTAAAGTTATGGGATATTAATAATAACCTGGTATTATGGTGAAGCTTGAATGAATAAAAAAATTGATTATTGCCATTTATAAAATTTATAATATTTTCCATATACCAAATTATCAAAAATATATGTATACCCTATTTTAAAATATTTTTCATGATGGTAATTAAGACTAGTAACAGTAATTAAATTGCAACTTTCTAATAATTTTTCTAATAAAAAAATTTACTAAATGATGCTAAGTATTACTTAACGTTCAGAATTAAGAGATTCAATAAAATTGTCTAAATTAAGATCTTCATATTGTTTGTCATCCCATAAATTTTCTAATCCCTCAACCAAGTTCTTTGGTGTAATTTTCTTTCCCTTTCCAAAACCAGATCCATCGCTTGTGATCGATGCACTTTTACTTTGAACGCCTTTACTACTATCTGTGGTTACGTTAAACAAATCAAGAATTTGTTCAGTGTCCATACTTTGCAATCCGGAATTTTGTTGATTAACAATGGAGTTGGCAATATTAAGCTTAAATTTTTGCAATCTAAAAAAAAAAAATTAGATATGCCCATTAATTATATATGCAGCATGTATTGATATGAACAGGTCTTGACGTACCCCATAATCTTCTCTTCTAGTGTGCCTTTTGTAATTAATCGATAGACATTGACCGTTTTCTTCTGTCCAATACGATGCGCATGATCCATTGCCTGCAAATCTTTCATCGGATTCCAATCGTGTTCCACAAAAATAACGATCTAAAAAAAAAAGTCAAATATGTAGACCAATTAATAACAATTGTCGCGGCTTACGCTGAAATTTGGGTCCCTATTTGAAGGCATAAATCCCACCAAAACCAACATATACTCTTCTAATGACAACGCTAAACACTAACCCTAAATCTTATTAACCTAACTATTAAAAAAAGGCTAAAAAATATATCTCCAAAAAATTTTAAAGTTTCATATAATAACAGGTCCAAATTTCAGCACAGTCGTAGCAATAATTGAGATACGTACATCTGCGGCTGTCAAATTGATGCCTAATCCACCAACGTGGGTTGTAAGTAGTAAAACGTCAATTGATGGATCCTTATTGAATTGTTGTACAATTCCGTGTCGTTTGTTAGCGTCCACTGATCCATCTAGACGTAAGTAGGTTACTGAAGGCATGTAAGCTTCAAGTAAATCTTTCTCTATGATATCGAGCATAGTCTTAAGTTGGCAAAATATAAGTGCACGATGCTGGCTTACTGCGCCAGCTCCAAGTGAATCTTCAGAGTCTTGGGACGTTCCAATGCCACAATCATGTAATAATTGTCTATAGCATGAATTTGAATTAATAAAAACAATTATATCTTGTGAAAAACAAAATCTATAATTACTTTAATGCAAGCAACTTTGGAGCATTTTCCAAATCGTGCAATGAAGTCTTTGTAGCTTTGAGTCGGTCCATGACCATACGGTACTGAGGATGCTTATTATTGACAACAAGCAAAGGATGATTACATAGTTTACGCAAATACTGTAACGCTTGAAAAATATGTGTATGTGTCTTCTTTTTTTCTCCTTCATCTTCAGTAATTTCTGTTTCTAGCTCTATTTCAACTTTACTTTTAGCCTGCGATTTAGCGAACTGTTCATATAACTGTTTCTATAAAAGTGGTAGCAATTGTATTAGAACTGATGTCCATCGATACTACATAAATCATATAAACTTTAATGTTATCCAACCTGTAAATCACTAAGTTCACAGTAATAGTCTTGAATAATTTTGGGAGGCAAATCACTCAGTACATCTTCTTTCAATCGGCGCAGCAAAAATGGTAACACTTGTTTATGTAAAGCTTCAAGGGCCAGCGCGCCTAAATTAGAGTAAACATGAATTATTATGTAAATTAAATAATCAAGTTAACATGCTACATACCGGCCTCTTGTTCTCTAGATGAGCTTTTGCTGTCTCTACTGGCCAATATTGGTTTTCCAAATCTCTCGTTAAATTGTTTTTCTGTACCCAAAAACCCAGGCATTAAGAAATCAAAAAGCGACCATAATTCTAGTACATTGTTCTATATTATCAAACAGTATTTTAATAAATAGATAATGTCTAAATAAAAACATAAATACACTAGCCAGATAAAAACCTGTATCGGTGTTCCGGATAATATTAGTCGGTGATTAGCCTTTACTGACTTTACCGCTTTAGTAATCTTTGTTTTTCCGTTTTTTATCACATGTCCTTCATCCAGGATGCAATAATTCCAATGTATACTGGCCAAGTCATCAATGTCATTACGCACAATATCATATGACATGATGACTACGTCGTAGTTAGGGATCTTTGGGCGGAGCCTTTAAAATAATTATAAGTTAGCAAAAAGAAAATATAATTGCAAATATTTATCGATATGAATAAAAATATAAACCTATCTCTGTCTTTAGGGTTACCAGAATATAGGAGAGGCTTTAATGTGTCAGTATAATTTAATATTTCATGATACCAATGCCCTGTCAATGTAGGTGGGCAGACAACTAATGATGGACAATGTACGCTGTCCGGTGATTTTGTTGTATTATATTTGGTAGCACGCATGTGGTGATCACTAGCAAGGATGCAAATAGATTGAAGTGTTTTACCAAGTCCCATATCTAAAGATATTATTGATTGTCATTAATATATACATATATATATACAACGATTATTTCCGGACAAATTCGATAAAAATTTTTTACCGTCACATAATATTCCATGCAATTGATACCTATTTAAAAATGCAAGCCAATTTACGCCTTCCTGTTGATATTTTCTTAGTTCAGCTTTGATTGTAACAGGAATTTCATATGGATCTAGCTTTCTGCTATCAAGCAGCTGAGCAAGAAATTTACGTTCTTCGTCTCGGTGTATCAACATTTCTGTAGATAGGCCAGGTGGATCAGGTATTCCGGCCTAAAACAAACGAGAACCAATTAGAACGTTAAAGAATAATTTTTTACCGTATATTAAATGTATTAAAATTACCTCCAACGGCACCAACTTTATCAGCATAGCAAAACAGTTGGTGCTCACTAATCGTACATTTTCATCCACATCACTCATTCGACCCAAAATTGGTACAATCAAAAAAATGACATAAGGAAGAATCTTTGCGTCCATAGTTTGCACAACATCTAAATTCACCAAATTAAAGGTTAAGAAAATATAAATGCTTAAAAATTAGCGAGCTCTGGTGACGCTGTAAAGGATACGATATATTAGTTCAGCAGCTCCTTGGCGACGTATCACATTTTGTGAATCCCCCAATAGTGGTATTATTTGGTCTATTATTATCTGCATACTCTGAATGGTAATAACGTTAGCAATCGTGGCAAAGCAACGGGCAGCCATGGACCGAATTACTGAATACTGGCATTGAATAGCTTTCACAATACAAGGCAGTAACTCCGTAACCTGTTTAAATGCAATTACTTTTTTTAATATGCGTTATAAATTTAAAAGTAAACTATATATAAGTCTAATGCACCTTCAATTGAAGAGATTCATGAAAGACAGGAACCAATGTTTGTAATATTTGCAAAGAATCAATGACGTCTTGTCCCAAATTTATGTTTGTTTTAAAAACCGTTGATATCTTTTCTTTGTCATCTACTCGATGTTAAGCACAAAATAAAGAGCTGTTAACATATAACGACCATTTGTTATTAAAACATAAAACTAATTATTACACACCATGAATGAACACTGTACTCAAAGACGAATGCACACACGTCCATAGCCTTGGAACAATATCAAATAATTTTGGTCCAAATTGTAGAGAAAATTGCCGAAGTGCTGTTTCAGCACCACGACGTATTAATTTTTGTGATTTTAGCTCTTCATCTTCATTTTGGGAATCGTTATTAGATGAACCTTTATCAGGTTCCTTAGCTTTCTGTAAAGACAATATACCCTCCTTTGCACGATTAGCTTGCAGTTCAGGTGTTGCAGTTGGATCAGAACAAAGAAATGTACATAGATTTTTCACGATTTTGTCGTTAGGATTTACTCGCGTTGAGCCATCCTCAGAGGCACAAAGTTCAACAAGGCTCGCTAGTGTAGCTGCCGAACGTTGCTGTAATCCCAGATTTTCTTCTGTTTTTATGGAATTCATAATAGATCTAACGACAGGATTAAGCTTAGGAGGCAACGCCCGCAATGCAACTACAGCACCGGCAACTGCTGCGAAAACGACTACGTCATTCTTTTGCTTAGTAGACTCATAGTAACCTATTGATGATAATACACGGCGTTTACGATCATTTAAAGCTTGTCTTTCATCACTCCGAGCTTGCGTAGATTTTCCATCTACACCAGTGACTTGAGCTAATAAATTATTGAAAGTAGCTGCCGAAAGCTCTACTGCCGTTTCAATACTGAACAATGGAAATAAAGCATCTGATTGAATGACCTCACCAAGAACATGCGAAGGTAAAGTTGGTATAACCGCGGAATCAATTTTTCCCACTGAAACAAATGTATTGAGCAACGCTTGACATTCACCCCGAATGCGGCGAAGAATAGATATAAGTTCCGAATAAAATTTTGGTGGTTCGGATTCCAGTATTGAGATCATATGGTTTGAAAGTTTAACTGCTAATGGCGATACGCTCAACAATGATGTTTGAATATCATAGCCTTCGTTCTTCACAATTGATCGTGCCCACTCTTCTATAATGACAGCAGCAAGTTGTTTATTTGATGCCCATGAAGACGACAAACAAGATATAATAATTTCTTCAAATGATGTTTCCAAAGACTAAAATTATTAATGTTCAAGATGATTTAATAAAACGAACACGGTTAAATTGAATACTATTTAACTAAACCAAAATTATTATCGTTCTACCTCATTAGGCCAATGACTCATTAACATACCCAGGCCTTTAGAAGCAGTGACTCTGCCTCTTAGTACAGTGTCTACGCTGACCAATGCAAAATCTTGTTGAAGCATCCCAGTATCAATATTATGACCAGCCACGACATCATCACCGTCGTTTGTCTGGATACGCCCCTGTGATCGACGTCGCAAATTGGTAGATGATACAGCAGTAGGTGATGTTTCCATCGGAACTGGACCATCTGGTACAAAAAATAATCGTCGATCAATTGGAGTGCCTAACGGCGTCATAATTATCATAAACCATGTTCTGATATATTGAGCCGTAAAAGTGATGATTTTATTTTCTTGGCCGGACTTTGATACATGAGACACTAAAGCAGACCAAACTTGAAGGGATAATTTGAGAACATCCTGAGATTATAAATGTTTTCGGTGAGGATGGATTTAATTTCTCTTAACTATATAACTCAAAATAAAGAAATAGTATGTACGCTTTTTTCCTCAACGATCATGTTTTGAAAAACAAGTCTAAAAGTGCGGTGATCTACCCATTCTTCAACATCAGGCATACCCAGAAATGTCAATAATGTATTTAGGACCGCAGAACGCACGGATGTAATAGTGTGACGAAAGAATGGGTATAATCGCGGTATTAATGTTGTCAAAGAATGACTACAAAACCGTAAAATCTTGTCAAAAACACAAATAAATTAATAATTAATTTTTTAATGTTTTGGAATTACCTCGGATCAGAAATAGCAGCTGTTCTCATATATTCTAATACTTTTGGGAAAGAAAATAATCGAGCTAAATCATTTTTTAAATAAAAATAAAAATGTAATATATCAATTAAATTATGGATAACACGATAATGTTCTATCTATATAGAAAAAAAATTCACCCAAAAAATCCATTACACTAGCTGTGGATGCTGTCAAATCGTCCTTCAAATCCTTTAAACAATCCCATAACACTGTAACAATTTCTGGTATTTTGTGTGCAGAAAGTGTGACAAAATGTTCTGCAATCGGAATTAGAATAGATGCAGCAACAGCTCTCACATCATCATCACTATCTTTTAACCTTATTGTGTCAAAGCGAAAAGAGCAGCTCGTAAATAATGTGATACATGATAATGGGAAAGAGTAGAAACATACCCTAAGATCACTGCACCCACAGTTCCATCCAATATTGTGTTCACCAAATCCTTGCGGACAGCAACTGCGTACTTCAAGCCTAACATCCCGGCATGTCGGACTTCCCATATTGATGGTTTATCTCCTTGCACATCTGTTTGATAAATCATCTGCAATAAAACTTTATGAACTTTTTCCACTCCTTGTGATGACATATAACGTAGAAGTGCACCCATTGTTTGCGAGCAAGTCTCTCTTACAGGCGCAACAACCTTTAAGGCAGTTATTAAAACGTTAATCATTGTTTCCCCAATATACATAAAAGAGAATTAACATAATATTAGCAATATACTATACCTGGTCTGACACAAAATCTCCAAATCGGTCCAGTGCAAAAACACATAACAAGCGAATTGCTACATCCTCCAACCATTTATTATGTCTGAATTCATTTTCCGTTTTAGTTAATCCAACTGTAAAAGTAATATAGAATTAATATCAGTAATATTAGATTAATAAGAAACAATTATAATCATGTGATACGCACCACGACGCCCAGCCCCATGACCGTGTACTTTAAGTATTTCCCTTAAACCAATGCAAGCACCGTGCCTTACTTCCCAGCATGGACTTTGAAAGGTATTCGATGTGAATATTTTATCAAAAGACATATATAGATATATAGAATGACACGAGAACTCACTTAAACAAAGCTACACAGAGAGATTCGCACACATTTTCAAATGGCCATTCATTAGACTGATCATCCGTTACATTTGACGATCCTTCTTTTTTAGATTCTACAACAATTTTACTGGAACAAGGTTGTGGCGTAAAATTGAAACATCCCTCTGCTTGTGTCTGCTCTGATGATCCTGATTAAATGTCAAATAAAAATTTAATTCACTCTTGCTGAACAAGTAAAACTATGAAAGATATTTACACTAACCATCAGGTTCGACTTTGACAGTTGTTGGTGCAAGTGGAGTTGCTAGCGGTGCTGCATGATCACCGCTTGTTCTTCGCGTACCAATTTCTACAACCCGTAATCTATACCAATAAGTCAATAAATACAAAATGCTACCCAACAAATGTACAATATGGTAAAATATTACGCATACTTTTCTTTTCCCTTAATTTTTGCATCATTTTTTGCTTTTCTTTTCAGTTTATTTCTTTCTCTGGCGCTCAGGCCAGCCATCTCTTCTGGGGGCAAAATTGGAGAACGCGGTGGTTGTATAGAAGTAGACTCGACCTTATGGATTTGTGTATTTTGTGATGTAGTCGCCCCACTTATGTCAACATCATCCAATAAATCGACTGCAAGAAATATTCCCT